CCCCTTTTTTTCCTTCTTTTGTTTTTTTTTTTTTTTTTTTGGTTTTTTTTTTTTTTTTTTTGGCAGGAAAAAAAAACAAACAAACCTAAAAATAAATAAAAAAAACCAGAGCAGGAAAAGAGTTGGGACCAAAGAGCATCAAATCCAAGAGAAATCCCCCCCCGGGGGGCTGCTCGAGCCCAATTAACCTCCTGGTCTTAATTACCTGGCAGGGGGAGCTCGGGAAGTGGGTTCAAGCCCCGAGTCCTGGCTGTTCTCAGCCCAAACAGGGGGTTGGTTTTCTGGGGAGGGAGAGGCAGGACGAGCCCCCGGCTCGTTAACCCAGCCCGTTAATTAGTCCAGGAGAAGGAGGGGTCGCGGAGGCTCCTCCGGGGGCTCCCGATCCCGATCCGGGCTCAGAAACCCCCCGGGAAGAGGGAAAAGGGTGAGTCGGGATCGGCTCCTCCGGCGGCTTCTGGTCCTCGTGTTCCCAAATCCAGCGGGAATCCCCCCGGAATCGGTTCCTGCCGTGCCCCCCTCGCTCCCCCCAGCACGGGGAGACCCCCCCGGGCGCTGCCCCTTCCCCTCGGGGGTTTGGGGTTGGTTTGGATCCTCTCCCTTCATCCCTGGGGGGGTTTGGGGTTGGTTTGGATCCTCTCCCTTCACCCCTCGGGGGGTTTGGGGTTGGTTTGGATCCTCTCCCTTCACCCCTCGGGGGGTTTTGGGTTGGGTTTGGATCCTCTCCCTTCACCCCTTGGGGGGTTTGGGGTTGGGTTTGGATCCCCCCTGGGCGCTGCCCCTTCACCCCTGGGGGGGTTTGGGGTTGGTTTGGATCCTCTCCCTTCACCCCGGGGGGGTTTGGGATTGGTTTGGATTCTCTCCCTTCACCCCTCGGGGGTTTGGGGTTGGGTTTGGATCCTCTCCCTTCACCCCTGGGGGGTTTGGGGTTGGGTTTGGATCCCCCCCGGGCGCTGCCCCTTCACCCCTGGGGGGGTTTGGGGTTGGGTTTGGATCCTCTCCCTTCACCCCTCGGGGGTTTGGGGTTGGGTTTGGATCCTCTCCCTTCACCCCTGGGGGGTTTGGGGTTGGGTTTGGATCCTCTCCCTTCACCCCTCAGGGGGGTTTTGGGTTTTTTTGGGGTTGTTTCTGCGGCTCCTTTTTGGCTTCAAATCCCCCCCCCCGATCCCGATCCCGGCGCTAAAAAGCCCAGGAGGGGCTTCGGCTCCTCCGGGGGGTTCAGTTTTCCCAAAACAGGGGAAATCCCGCTGGGATCTTCCAGCCCCTCCACGGGGAGCTTTCGGCTTCTCCGGAGAGACGGCGCGGCGGCAAAGCCCGGCTTGGGAAA